ACACGAGAGAGAGAGAGAGAGAGAGAGAGAGAGAGAGAGAGAGAGAGAGAGAGAGAGAGAGAGAAATACATTCGGAATGAAAAATTCTGCTGACTCACACATCGCCTTGTTCGTTGTCTGGTGCGGTGTGTGGGGCTGATGAGGTGGTCCTGAGTAGGTTGGGGGCTCCTTTGGTGGGTTGCTTGGCCCATAAATATGAGGATCTTCGGGGTAGTAACTTGTACGGTTGGTGTTAGGTGAGTAAGATGGGGGAGCTGGGGTAGGGGGATTGTTGGAGGGGGTGTACGTGGATGGGTTAGTATAAGAGTGAGGGATTGTTGGTGTAGGGTTCGGGAGGTCCGAGGGTATGTAGGTGTCTATGGGTGCGTATGTAGGGGGGTTGGAAGGGGGTTGAGTTGGGAGGTTTGAATGTGTGTAGGAGTGTGTGGGTGTGTATGTAGGGGGGTTGGATTGTGCTTGTGTTGGGGGGTTTGAAAGTCTGTGTGAGCGAGTGTGTGTGTAGGTAAGAGGGTCGGTAGGTGGTTGTGTTGGGGGTTCTGAAGGTGTGTAGGAGTGTGTGGGTGAGTATGTAGGGGAGTTGGTAGGTGGTTGTGGTAGGGGGTTCGAAAGCGTGTAAGTAGGGGCATTGGTGGGTGGTTCTGTAAGGGGGTCTGAAGGTGTGTAGGAGCGCGTGGGTGTATATGTAGGGGGGTTGGTGGGTGGTTGTGTAGGGGGGTTTGAAGGTGTGTAGGAGTGTGTTGGTGTATATGTCGGGGGGTTGGTAGGCGGTTGTGGTATGGGGTTCGAAGGTATGTAGGAATGTGTGGGTGTGTTTGTGGGTGGAGTGGTGGGTGGTATTGTTTGGGGGTCTGAAGGTGTGTAGGAGTGTGTGGGTGTGTATTTAGGGGGGTTGGTAGGTGGTTGTGTAAGAGGGTTCGAAGAGATGTAAGTAGGGGGGTTGTTGGGTGGATCTGTTTGAGGGTTTTGTGGCCCGTACGTCTGGTAGGACGAGTACGATGGACCCGGAGCTTGTGAGTCGTACGACGGGTAGGACCGGTAGCGAGAGTTCTGTCTGCCCTGTGGCCTGTTTGGCTCCCAAATAGGCACGTAGGCGTAGAAGCCGTAGTTGTCGCTGCGGTAAGGCACCGACTCGTAGCCATATTGGGGAACCGGGTCGTTGTAGCTGTAGGATGAGTAGAACCTTGCTGGGTAACGGTCGTATCTGTGGACAGAGTTGGCGTTGTATCCATACCCATAATTCCCGGCCGCGTTTTCGTTGTTGTTGTTGTTGTTGTTGTTGTTGTTGTTGTTGTTGTTGTTGTTGTTGTTGTTGTTGTTGTTGTTGTCGTCGTATGACGGTACTCTGTTGTACGGTTGCTGTCCCTGGAAAAAGTTATGCGCCTCTTCGTAGCTTGGTCCGTAACTGGGGCCGGAGTTGTAGTTGCCGCTGTTGTAGTTATAATGGTAACCGCTGGAGTAAGAGGGCTGAGGCTCGGCGTACGGTTGATGACCAGACTGGTAGGGGGCTGGATCTCCTGAGGGCATGCCGCTCGCTGACGAGATGAACAGCGCCCATGCAAGGATGGCTACAACTCCCATTATTGCTAAGGATGGTTTGAAAGAGAGGAAAAAGTAGAATGTATCACCTGTGTATACACAAAAAAAGTCGTTTGGGAATTGGAGCAGGGGCTATGGGTGGCCGGGATATATTTTTTCACCCTCCGAACGCCCGGTTTAAAGTTTAGCAAAAGTCACAGCTGAATAGAAAACAGATATAGTACGGAAAAAAGATATTACCTCTATTCCAAGCAGGTGTCGGCTTGTTATGGCATCCAGTCAGATAAATATCAAGACATGATATAACAATATAAAGCACTGTGTAAGCTCTTAAAAGTCATCAGAGATGTGCAGGCCAAGCTGGTGGCCATGGTTCAGTGCCCTGTTAAGCTTGGGTCAGGGTATTGTTCTCAAGAGCACATCGTAGTTATCATCCCTTCAATTGGTGTCTATCAATGATAATGATAATAATGATAATAATAACAATAATAAAAATAATAATATTAATATA